AGAGAGAATGTTGCCCTGAGTATCCTGCATTTACCTTAATAAAAGAAAGATGTGGGTAAAGCTGTTCTTGAAGCCTGAAATGGAAAGACAGGCTTTTGTTTTATTTCATTCAAAATATTTACAAATAATGTTCATGGTATAAAATGGTGGATAAAATCGAGTAGTAAGTTGCGACTAGAGTAGGCCTATTGAATCGGGGTGGAAGTTTGGTGAGTCAGTTTCCCTATTCCATTTATTCCATGAACCTCCTGTACAGTAGTTGCAATTTACTGTTGGATTTCAGTTGTTTGAAACCCCTTTCCTTCCTGGTACATTGTTAAATGCATGTTTAGTAGAGGAGGTTCTCACATGTTGGCTTTGTGAACTTCTGTAGTTTAAGGCAGTTGGGGGAAAACAGCTGAGTCTTCTTGTAAGTAAACACAAAATAATTATGGTATTATCTCAGAGTTCACTCCCATCTTGGCTTCTGCAGTTAGAGCAAAGGAAGGGGACAAATCAAATGACATGTTAGTTGAGGTGATGCTAACATCTTTGAACAGTATCCTGTGCTGTCATAAAGTGATACATACAATAATTCACTAGCTACAATTTTTCATTAAGTATCAATAATTGGGAAAAAAAGAATTTGAACTTTACAAACTAAATATTGAAAGGAGGAAACAGTACCATTGAAAAAGCGTCTAATTTGCTAAAATATCCCAGTCTCTTGTTGGCTGATTGTTGCTTTATAAATATCCCATTACTTTCTCTCTCTCTTTTTTTTTTTTGCACATATACATTTCCATTTCTGTACTGCCAACAAAAGAGAAAGATTGCCCTTCTTAAGCTAGTGTGAAAAGGCGGGGGAGGAGGGAGCCCAACTGTTCCTTCTTCGCCAGCATCCTGTTTACAGAGAAGAAGGTTTTTCTCTCTTTACCTTGTATAGAAACTATGGACTTCTAGAGGAGCAGGTGAGGATTCCATTGCTCTCTTAGCATCATCGAATTTCTTCCAACTCATGGTTCCAAGAAAAATTATTATACAGTATACAGGGTTGCAAGAGGCAGGCTGCTTTAAATGCTGGGTCACAGTAGAAAGTTATATCGTTTGCTTTGCACTTGGCAGCATTTATTGTCATTTGAATATGGGGAGCTGAAATATTGTTATGCTATTTCTTACAAGAAGGCTGGTTTATCTCCTTTTCTGTGCTCTGACCTTACAGTTGAATAGTTCTCTTGCACCTTGTATCTGATAAGTGAGATGCTCTTGAAATGCATCTCTCCTGTTAACTGCACTTTACAAAACAATCTACAGTAAAGTTGCGAGGGAGTTAATGGCTCAGTGATGGGGGGAGCTGATTTGTACTGAACTAGGCAGAATTGTTTGATGGCCTGTCAGATCATGCCCTGTCAGATCATTACCCCTCACTTTGTATGGTGGCTGCCTGGAGAAATGTTTTTGCTGAATCCTGGTGAATTTGATTTATGGGACTGTAGCTGTTTTATCCTAGCAATTCCAGTAGGTAGAAGTGTGCATCTTACGTGGCCATTACCATTCAGTAAGATAAGGTTACTAAATGTAGTTAAAGCCTGAGGTCAAGTTTCAATGTTTCTAGGCTTTGTGCTGTAAATGTAGTTCCCTCCCCTCATCTTCTCTGTAGCACTCACGCTGAACTCCTGGAGATGGTGGTGGTGTTAGGAACCAAGTTGAATTAAGTGGCATCCGTGCCTGTCTCTGGTCTGTTTTACTGCCTTCCTTTGGAATGTGGAGGAGGTGAAGGAAAACAGACTGGAGATGAAGTAAATATATACTCCGCCCAGCAGTCTGGGAGTATGCTTCCTCTTCTTGTCATTCCTGTGTACAGCTTCATAGCATCTGCAGTTCTCAAAGCAGGAGATTTTTTTTATTTTTAGCAAAGGAAATTTATGTTGGATGGATATTGGTTACTGATGGATCGTTCTGTACGAGGATGGCTCGTACAAAAAAGAAGCATGTTCATGGCACAGTTTCCTAGGTTTGATTTATTGTTTTGTGTAGCCAGGAAAACTGTATGATACATTTCCTTCCAAAGCAAGATCAGGCTGTCTGCTCACATAATTATGCCAACTTTTTTGCAGTGCTGCTGCTTAAACTGGATAGCATGGAACTAGCTGTTTCAGTATCCTTCAGAAAAATATATGCATTTCACATTTTTCCCTCCAAAGTTCTGTAACTTTGAAAAGGGAGCTATTATTGAGTTGCCAGAAGATAATGCAGTAAAAATGAAATGCAGCTAGTTTGTATCCTTTTGCTTTCCCTCTGTCTTTCAGTAGCCATCCTCGTACAGAACGATTAGTACTTGCCTGTTAACATGTAGGAGTATGGGAACCAGCTGTTGGCAGTAAGGCAACTCCATGGCTGCAGAGGGGTGACTGGCTGTGGCTTGAAGTGTTTAAAGTGCTTGGCTGATTACATTCACGCTGGGAGACACACAGGCATTTATTTTCTTGTCACTTTAAGCAGAAACATAGCTAGTTCAATATGATATAAATATATCTTACTACAGTGTTTGTTATTTTAAAGTATTAAAATTGAAACTAATTTAATTGCAAAATTGAAATAGCTCTTGCTTAGCTGCAGTCATTTACAGCCAACCAGACAGAACAGATAGGTTGTGATGGCAGCATCCACATTGGTTTGTTTATGTCTCTCCTCTTAAAAACGTCTGGAGGATCATAGGTAAAAGAAGCTGAACCTTATCTCCCTGCATCTTGTCATTCCAAGCACTTATCCAGGCAATTCAGAGCTTGTTACTTTGGTGGGACTAGGTGCCAAATTCCTATCCCCAGCACCACCCAGAAGCCACATCTGACACAGAAATGGCCAAAAATGTAATATACAGTAAAGGTTTAATAGAAGTGCTGAAGCTTCTGAACCAGAGTTGGAAAAAGGGGAGAAAAGGCCGGTAAACTGACATCTGAGACATATCTTTGCAGCAGCCGCTGTATCTTCTAAGAGAGGGGAGCACCTGAAATGTATTCCACACCATCCAAAGTTTCTTCACTCCGAGAAGCATAGTGGAACAGAGAGACATTCTGTGACTGCTAGTGCTGTTCAGTTTCCAGAAGGAGAGACTGAGTCAAAGCCTAAACGCTCCAACTTGATTTTGGCTACAATTGGATACACTGAGCTTGGTCATGAAATAACTGGAGAAAAATCTAAATACGCAGTGTTTGGGTGGGGATATATAGCTTAGGTAGTCTTATTCTGTTGGATTAACTTGTTCTAATTCCCCACAGAATTGAATCAACAAGGTTTCTTTGCATGTATTGTCTAAAACGTATTGTTCTTCCTCTTTAAGTAACTCACTTAATACATTGCTGTAACTGAGCTACCTTCAGAAAATTGGCTGCAATTCTAACTAAAGTTTGGTTACAGATTCTGTTAAAACATTATGATTTCTGCTCTGTCTTTTTCTTTTATTTCTATGTTCTCATGAAAATAGTACCTAATGACACATGGAAGGATGAGAAAAGAATGGCCTGTATCCTTCTGTGGTTTCTGCTTAAGAGTAATATGTCTGTTGACAAATTTGTGTGTGTGTGTGTGAGAGAGAGAGAGGGAGGGAGGGAGGGAGGGGGCGAGCGAAAAAGATACTGGCATACCAGGTAGGGAATTACATGCTTAGGTGCTTCCTACTTGTAGAAATTCAAACATGCTAGAAGGACACCTTTTGTCTAACACTTAGTGCTTGGGAGTTTCCAGGTAGCAGGGTATTTCATTAGTCCTTTGCCACCTGGGCTCTGAGAGACAGATGAATCAGGTGATGTGCTGTTGTTTTAGACACAAGTCCCAGTTTCCTGTGTGCTTGTTAATGTGGATGGTGTGATAAAATAGGAGTACAATTGCAAGGTGTCATTGCACAACAGTATCATCACTCGAGGGGCTTTTCGGCCAACTTGTTTTTAGTATCCATTTCATCTTATGTCTCTTGCATATAGTTCTGTGGCTAGAAATGAATGTATACACGTCACAGTGCTGTAACATGCCTCTTCAGTCAAACCTGTGGGAGTGGGGATTAGATAGTGTCAAGATGTACTAATATTGGATCTGACATCTGCCCCAGCATACTGCTGACTATCTTGTGAGATGGAAATCCATCCTATGTGTTTTCAATGAAAAGAGTTGGAGAGAGGTTTAGAGCTAATATTTCAGGTCATGCTTCTCAAGGTTTTTTTTCCCTGCACAAATGAATACACACAGCTATCCAGCTGGACAAAATGCGTGACAGATCCAAGGAAAATACCAGCATTGTTTAGCTTAGTTCTCTTCTCTTCCTTTCTCTCCAGAAGTGCAGCTCATGAACTCTGGCAGTTAGATCCTGATGTTCTCAAGTTAATGCAGTCGGCAGGTTTTTATCTTGGTTGATTGTTTTATCAGAGGAACTCGTATGAACAATTCATGCTGATTCTTATGTCAACACTTGAAGTAGACAATGCATTCTGCACTACTAGCTCTTAAGCATAACTCTATGAGAAAAAGTCTATGGAAAGGGATGTATGCTGCATAAAAAAGGTGGTGATCTTCCTATAAGGGGAATTGCTTTGCTTTTGCCTTTGCTGCTTTTCTTCTGTGCTGAGTGTCATCATGGAACCCTTAGGCTCTATATATAAGGATTGTGAGAGGCCAACAAACTAGCTTTTTCTATAAAAATGCTGTGTTGATGCCAATGCTAAATAAATTATTTAGTTGTTTTGATTCCAGTGGTCATCATCAGACTTGTTAATAGTACAGTTTTCTCTCTGATATTGTCCCACTTACAGATATATATGTATGCACTTCATGGTATAGATTGTTATGGATTACTTGCAATAAAAATTTTCACACTATGTATATTTAAGCTGTTAAGAGTTCAGGATAATTCCTTTTTGTGAAGGTTTTCGTAATGGTTTGCCAATTTTTAGGTTTTTTAAATCACCTATATAAAATTGTTCTTGTGCCAGAAATTTAAGTTTTTAGTGTTTCAATTCTTTCTCTTTCAGCACTGGTTGGACAACACCAAAAGTATTAAAAAACAAGTTAAAAGTAAGTGGTTCTGTATTTGAAACTAATTTACTATCGAATTCACTTTGTGAAGAATGTGCTTTCTGAAAATACGTTACAGTAGAATGAAGCAACTTTTCAGAAGAATGTTGTAAGAGCCAAAACTTAACATTGCAACCCCCTTTGACTCATGTTACTTTATTTCATCAAGCATGACATGCTGAAAGTTGATTCATTATAGGCCAACGCTTTCTTAGAGTTTCAGTCATTTAAATATTTTGCAGTAGCTTTCAGTTTTTCAGGTTCTCTCTTGTCTTAGTTATTTTACTGAAAAAGGCATTGGGTAAAGTATATTTTAGAAAGCTTGCTTCACTCACTGATTTTAGCATATGCACTTTTTTTGGTGATTGGATCTGGCTTGAAAAGAACAAAAATGGTTCTAATAATAAATTACAAAACTGGGCAGAAACTTTGAAGATCTGGGAGATCAAGTGAAGTGTCACCTAAATAACATCCTGAATTTCCTGGTCTCAGATTTCTTTAATTTGAAAGGAATGAGGTGTGGAATCTAATGTTTGCCTGTCTTCTTAGCAAAGAAAGTCAATAGTGAGTGTAAAGCAACAGTTTTTTTTCCTGGCTTAGCAAAATCTTTGATTTCATTTTTTCTGAGGAGGTGAAGTGAGCTTGCAGTAGCCCATGTGGTGAAGGCTAGCCCAGTTGAATACTGGAGGGGATGCAGATTGAGGGAGGGCACAAGGATATGTCTGTTTGTCCAGGAACAGAAGAATGAAAGAGGGAAATCTAGTATTAGGAGAAGGTGCTCTCTCATGGAGGTATGGTTTTACGGGTTTTTTTTCAGAGTAACAGTTGGATGCATGATTTTTTCTCTGTTTTCAAAGGCCCATTGGGCTATTCTCCGGCTGGATTAATTTCACAAAATGCTACACTTAATTAAGAAAATTGACATCTCCAGAATCAGCTCCAAATTCCGTATGGGGATGCAGAATGCTCACAGAATATGCTCCTGAGAATTCTAAGCAGAGTTTTTAAGGATCTTGCTTGTTACTACAGCCAGGATGCATGGATTTCTCAGTTCATGAAACAGAGCCTTATAATATTGGGATTAACCTAGATTTCTCTGTTGTTGGGAAGACAAATCAAGTTAATGTGATGTGACTGAGATGATTTATTGTATTTAAAAAACTATTTTTGCCTGTTGTAATATTCCTTTTTATTGCAAATAGGTTTTATATTTAAGATATTCTTTGTACAAAGTAGATTTTTTGTTACTGAGGTACTGTAAAAATATACACTACTTTTAAAAAAAAATTACTAGTCGGAGCCTTTACAAAATACTACCTTTTGCTATCAGTAAACAACATATATTACCTTTTGTAGTTGGCCCACCCTATTGTCTGCATCTTCGTGTAAAGTTTTATTCTTCTGAGCCAAACAACCTACGTGAAGAACTCACAAGGTATGTTGTACAGAATGATACAAATAAGAGATCTTGAAACAATTTGTTGAGCCTGTGCTTCTAGACCCATGTGTCTGTCCTGGCCCTAAATATATCTAGCACCTGCATAGAAATATATATCACCTAAATATATCTAGCATTTCTTTTCCAGATGCAATGTCATGTCTACTGCTATATTATATGGCAGATTTAATGCAGTTCCCATTTCTGAAAGGCATTGCCCATGTAAACTGGGCAATGAAACCCTTGGGCAATGAAACAGGGCTGGAAACCCTTGTTCATATGTTTTTGCACTGCCCGCTTCACTCTATTGGCCGATCAGGGTTAATAGCCGCAGTTTTATTAAAGCTGGAAGGGAGGGCAGATCTGGATAAAGTTTGCTATATGCTGATGTCCGAAATGACTGACATTGTAGAAAGAGTTGCAGACTTCCTTGATACCATTGTTAGGAGATGAAACGTTGTCCCTCTAACACTTTTCTGCCCTCTTGATGCCTATATGTGTAGTTACCTACCAAACCACCATGACTATGGTCCAATTGTTACTTATGCCAATAAAGGTTTTATCTAGCTAGCTAGCTAACTAGCACTAGAACTGTTCATCTGAGTTGTTTTCTTTATTTTTGTGTTTCCCTCTTGAAACAGATATTTGTTTGTTCTTCAACTGAAACAGGACATTCTGAGTGGCAAGTAAGTACTGCAAATAATTGTACTAAATGTGATTTGTTCCCATGTGTGCTGCAAATTCATATTATAAATACAAAACTTTTGTGTCCAGAGTGCTAAAATTAATAGTTACTGGTTCCTAAATTCTGTAGTGTTGAATGTTTCACAATACCTAACTCAATTAGATAACTGTGTTCACATTTGCATGTTCTTGCTGAGTCTTATGATTAATATCTCCCAAATCTCTCCTCAGGTTTTTAAGGTATCTTCATCATGTATTTTTTTCCTCTTTGCTGTCTGTGGAATATAATATAATAAAATTATGTTCAGTGTTCAGTGTTCCACAGGGTCTTTCTGGAGACAGGGGACTATTTTGAGGATGAAAATGAATTGATGTGTGCCATCAGGGTTCTCTCTGTGTTAACTGTTTCTGTAGGCTGAATTCAATTGTTTAATCCCAACTAGAGTAGAATGATTGAGCAAATGGGATTTAGTTAATTTTTGACTTATCATTCAGCAGCTGATTCAGGTGGTCTCCTGTAGCTGGAACTAGCAATTGGATTTAGACCAAAAACACAGACTCAGAATTTTGGAAGCATAGGAGTTGATTCCTCACCATGCCTCCCGAGAGAAGAGCCGGTGATTATAGCCTTAGGCAAGCTGCATTGTCCTGGTAGTTACTCGGTGTGTGTGTGGCTGATGGAATCATGTGCTCTGCCCCCTATGTAGTCTTGGACAATGCTGCAGAGTCTCAGGGCACCATCCAAAGAAGGGACTGGTAAACTACATTTGAGTACTTTATGCCTGGAAAAGCCTGGGAAGAATTGCTGTACATTGGAATTGAATTGATGGCACATAATTATTATTCAGCTGGCTGGATAATTCAGTGGATTAGATCATATGGACCCAAAGGCTGTCAGTTTGATTCCTCCCAGGAAAAGAACCAGCCTGGGTGTCCTTGGAAAAGCTGCACAGCCCAAGAGCACAGCCTGAAGGGGAGGGAGTGGTAAACGGTCATTGGATACTAGCATAGGCATCCTTCAGTCTCGAGAGACTCTGGTAACATGCTCTGAATCGAGGAATGTCTTGTCCAGAGCATGAAGCCCGGGTAAGGTAATATGGAGGATAGGCTGTTCCCCAATCAGCAGATCCCCCCTCTCCACGTTGCTGAAATGGTCCAATGGAAAGGCAAGAGCCAATACAACTGGTCCCAGCAACGTCGCAGGAGTTGGCAGAACGACACGAACTGCCTTCGGGACTCCAGCTCCGGATTTTGCCTCTAGGTTAACTCCTGAAGCCTTTTCCATGAGTGGATATAGCCACAAGGCAGTGGAGGTTTGAAATCGGAGTTTTCCTTCTCCTAGATGGGCTGCCTTCCATGGCTGACGAGCCCCACCTACCCGGCCATTGGATACTTGATGCAAAGAAAACCAGTGGGAGAGAGGATATACTTAATTGATTATCAGTAGGATGATATTTTAAACATATTAATGAATCATCTTGCAGGTTGATTGCAAAGCATTGTCTTCTACCTCTTCTGAATTCTTAACCCATCATCATTGCTTATATCTTCCACTGCAGTTCATCTCTAACACATCTTTCTCCCTTTGGCAGGTTGGAGTGTCCCTTTGAAACAGCAGTACAGCTGGCAGCCTACACGTTACAGGGTAAGCCTGGAGGGAATTGACTGCTTAAGGGACTATGAAACACTCCGATAACAAACCACATGTAAATGCTTGCTTGTTACAATTGCCAACAATTCAGATAAATCACAGAACTGGAGTTTGTACTGAATGCCATTGCTTTTGTACCTGAAAATACCAATTGCATGTACAGCCCAGCCAGAGGATTATGAAGCTGATATGACTAAGCACGTGAGGCTTATCACCAGAATAACCAGGCTTGTCTGCTACTCTGCAGTCTAGCATGATTGGGAAATATAAGTGGAATCCTAGCAATTGAGCAAGTTTTAATGGTGCAGGAGAGGAGGGCAAGAGTAGGAAGAGTAAACCTTCATCAGTGGGGAAAAACTGTTTCTGACAGAAGTCTCTGGATTTTGGATCTATTCAGGAAAACTCAATGGAACTCTAGATTGTAACTTGCTGCTGTTGTGGCAAAGCAGGCTTTGTGAATACTAGCCAAAAATCAGAATCTGGCAGAATCTTGCACTGGAAAATGGCAGTGTTTTTTACATTTTTCTATTTATCTTTCCTGAAATAATTGCCTTCTTTGGACTATTTATTGCAGTGCTGTTCTCTTGATTTATTCTTACCTAAACTTTTGGGGGAAATGCATCCAAGGTACAGCATACGTTGTCTTTCTTTGAATAAATTACAAAAGCTGTTTTGCCATGTCTTCCATTTGAGAAAAATGCAAATTTATTTTCAGAAGAGTGTTTGAATCAGAGTGAATTGTTTGTGGACATTCAATGTCTATTATAAGATCTTAATGCTTGTTTGCATAGACTTATACTTATCTGCATTTTGTGGATCCTCTCTGTAAGTTTGCCTAGGATTGTACCTTTTCTTGAGTTTGGGAATTCTATGGTTTAGATTGTGTAGATACCAAGCTTCTAATTGGATATTCTTAGCTGCCTAAGAATATGTACTTGCAAGGCAGATCATTGTACATAAAGGTTCCCCCCCCCTTCTGGGTATGTAAAATACTATTAGTGCATTTTGATTGTTTTTTGTGAGTAGGGCACAAATTAGTGAACACAATATTTCATCGTAGTGAACCAGTTAAAAGTAAGCTGAAAGAATGTGAGTGCATAAGAAAATGAAGGCACAGTTGCAAAGGTACAGTGCTCTGCATTGAGTTTCACATTTTTGCTAGTACAGTAGTAGAATGCAGAGGCATGCCTGGAATCAGCAGCTGACATCCTTGGGCAGGGCTCTCGCCTCAACATCTGCCCTGTACTCTGGTTTGGAAAAGCGTCTGGTTTTTGGAACTGGGAAAAATATTTCCTGACTCTAGCCTTGTGCAAATTCACCTTTTTGACTCTGTTCGGTACTTTTGTTTCCTTTTACCTGCTGCTGATTTGGTGCATTTCCCCTCTACCTCCATGGGCCATCACATCAGGAGAGTAGGAAAATGAAGGTAGTGAGCTCCAAATCCAGTTCTATGGTGCCATCACTGGGCAACGTGGGGGACCCCACTAAAGGACGGGTCAGCCAGTGGGCACTTTGCCCAGGGCCTATTCAAGACTGAGCCCAGCCATCTATAAGTCTTTGGAGAGTGTTGTAGCAAAAGAACCCAAGGTCTATATCTCACCAGCAAAACCCATATGGCCTTAGATTCTTTAAATGGTTAAGAAGGGTAGCAAACAATGTTGCTCCAGACTTTAGTATCGCTTACTCCAGTTGGGTCAACTTTAATTAAATTAGCTGAAGTTTAAACTACTCTTAAAAGCAATTAAGTGAGATTGTGGGCATAAATTATAGATTTAGGAAATTCTTATTGCATTTTCTGTGACTGCTGACTAACTCAGTGGTTTAGGTATCTGACTGTGGAGCAAGAGGTTGGCTATGCGATTTCCCACTGTGCCTTCTTGTTAAGGCTGGACTCGATGATCCATGGGGCCCCAGCTCTGCAGTTCTAAAAGTGTTGTAGTTATAATTGTTTTTATTTCACTTTTCAGTATGTTTCTTTATGAAGCTCTTGATTTATGCATGCTGACTGAGCTCAGCTGAATGGTGGCAAACATTTTGTTTGAAACTGAGGCTGAAGATCGTATGTTGATGACATGATGATAGGGAGGTGTCGCCCCCAATGTTACCTTGTGTAAATTCACCTTTTGGATCATGTTCAGTGGCATTGGTTCCTCTCTCTGTTGCTGATTTTTTTGTCTTCCCTCCTGCTTCTCTCCTCCCCAGTTTATGGTCTTCTTCAGTATGGAATGGATAGGGAGATGAGACTGTATTGGATGGACTACATGACTGTGCCAGTGAGGGCAAACTAAGCAGATTGAGAGAGAGAAACAAAAAGGATAGGCAAATGTTTTTGCTTGCCATAATGTTGTCTGGTGGGGTGCAGTGGGAACATATTTTTAAATGATGTCAAAAATGGTTCCCAGCCAGGTACAGTCAGTACTGTAAATCTTTTTGTTTCTCTGTCAAGGACAGCTCTGTTTTTCATCCACTTGCTGGACTTCCATAGAGAACAAGGGGCTGCATTCAGGGTAGTATAAGGGCTGCCAAAGGAGGTACAGAACTCTGCTTCCTCTAGTACTGTGATTCCCGACCTTGTTTCTCCAGATATTCTTGGATGAAATCTCCCAGAAGCCTTCACCACTAGCTGTGCTGGCCAAGATTTCTGGGAGTTGTAGACTTGTGGGAACCCAAGGTTGGAAACCACTGCTCTCATAGCATGCATCTTCTTTTGCACTAGTTAACAGGGAATCAAGTCCCTCTGTGTACATCAAGCATGGAATCCAGCAGTGCTGGCAGTGGAACAATGGTTCATCCTTGCGCTCTCTCTCTCTCTCTCTCTCTCTCTTTCTCTGTGTGTGTGTGTGTGTGTGTTATCTATGTGCACATATCATCTTTTTCCTCCAGGCATCTAACCCTTACAGGGCTAATTTACATGACTGATTTAGAATTTAGTGTTTATTATAGCAACTTATAACATTAAACATCCAGATGTTTGCTTCAGTATTCGTATGTCTGATATCCTATTTTTAATAATTTTTTTTGTCTTTTTCAAAAGCAGAAATTGGTAATGTATGTTTCTAAAAACATGTCTTAATAGAGTAAAGGATTTATTGAAGGATAGGATTCATCTTTGATGAACAGCTGCTCATTTTATCAGCATCTTCCCATAAGACATTTTTTATAGTTCCTTCACTGAAAAATAAAAATCACTCACTGTTGAAATGACATGTATAGTAGCATGCAGCTTGTACCATTTAATTTCTTTTGTCAGTACCAGCATTTCTTTTCTTTTTATGCTGTCTGAAAGAGTAAACATATTTGCCAAATGAAATGAAATAGTGTTTGGATTTTGTTGTTGGTGTCAGTTGGCTAGTAAGTACAGTAGTACCGCCATATCCATTGGGGTTTAGTTCTAAGCCCCCTGTAGATCCTGAAAACAATGGATGAATTGTCCACAAGAGCGTACGAGAGACCATGCTATGTATTCTTCACTACCAAGTATTCATAGCATGGTTTCTGGCTCCCTCTACTAGCCAGTTCTGGTGATGTATGTGGAAAAAAAATTCTGGATATTTTATTTTAACATTTTTAATATTTTCAGACTGTGGATAAGTGGATCAGTGAATATTGATCCTGTGGATAAGGGAGCCCTACTGTATCTGTTTTTCTGGAATTTACTTGAAATATTTCTGTCTTTTGCAGCTGAACTTGGTGACTATGACCCTGCTGAGCATATCCCTGACATAGTGTCGGAATTCAGGTTTGTTCCCAATCAAACTGAAGAGATGGAACTGGCCATTTTTGAGAAGTGGAAGGAATACAGGTGATAACTCCCAAATTATTACTTCTCATGTGCTGTTTTCTCCTAGTTAGAGATGGGCATGAATCAGAAAAACTGTGATTTGTTTTAATTCATGATTTATCAAGGTCAATGAATTATGAAATTATGAATTTGGGTTTTTTTAAAATTTAAAACCTTATAAAACAGCCTCTCCAAGCATATAGAGACACCAAATTTCCAGGAAAGCTTCCCCTGACTCTCCTCTATAAGCTCTGCAAGTTTGGTGAAGTTTGGGTTTCGGACGTCTGAGTTATGCACCCACAAGGAGAGCCCTCCAGGAAAGTTCCTCCCGGGTACTTAGAGACACCAAAAGAACAGAGAAATTAGTACTGACTCTCCTCTACAATCCTTCCAAGTGTTAGTACTGACTCTCCTCTACAGTTCCTCCATGTTTGTTGAAGATTGGGTTTCAAACATCCACGTTATGCACCCACAAAGTGAGTCTCCCTAGGAAAGTGCCCTTTAGTAGCTTGCTTGGGGAAACCCAGTCTTCACCAAACGTGGAGTGATTGTAGAGGAGAGTCAGTACAGTAGTAACTTCTCTGTGCTTTTGGTGTTTCTAGGTGCCTGGGGGAGACTTTCCTGGGGAGGTCCTCTTTGTGGGTGAATAACTCAGGCGTCTGAAACCCCATCTTCACCAAGCTTGGAGGGATTGTAAAGGAGAGTTGGGAGAAGCATTCCTGCAATCTTGGTGTCTCTAGGTGCCTGTGGGAGGTGTTTTATAACCTAATGAATTGATGAGTCAAAAATAGCTAAATTTCATTGGTTCTTATTCGTTGGGGCATTGATTTGTACAAGTACAAACTGACGAATTAGTGGTTTTTGAACAAATTTAGTGATTTTTATTTAATTCATGCCCATCTCTACTCCTACTTTCTCTATGCATCGCTTTCTCTTTCATAGTAAAAAAGTGTGGGGGGGTGTCTCTGATTTATGTCAGTAGATCATTGTCCAAACAATGTCCTTTTTATTCGTGGGGATGCTTAATTTCAGTTTCTTCAGTATGTGGTGTAAGAATTGGCTTGAAAGCCACTATAGCTCCTGAGCCTCCCAAATTAGCTATTTTTCATCTCTGCTTCATCATCTGGTTGATTGAGAAGAGAATGTTTTATGAGAGTCTGTAGACTGGCATTCTCTTTTGAACAATCATAAAATGTGTGGTGCATCTGAGACTGTGCAGTATCTACTGAATGGCAGAGTATGTTTTTTAATGCAGTGTGCAGCTGTAAGACATTTAAGTTAATCAAAGTCATCTAAGGTTCCACACCTTAATTTTGCCATGTAATATTTTCCCCAAACCCTGAATTTTAAAGAAAAATATGTAGATGCAACTATGGGTCATGGTTAGAACTGCGTAATTTATTTATTTTATTTATTTATTTCATTTCTATCCCGCCTATCTGGTCTTATTCGACCACTCTAGGCGGCTTACAAACCAACAACTCTAAATTCTAAAAGCATTATAAGTAAACAAAGATAAAGGAATTTTAAAGAAAAATATGTAGATATAACTATGGGTCATTATTAGAACTGTGTAACCAGTACTTCCATGGATAGTTCTACACATGCTTGAAGTCCTCCTTTCATTCCAGTTCAAATGAATTTTTCCCCATTTGAATTATGAATCTAACAGGGAACAACACATTTCTTTTGCGGTGGATTTGCTATCGCATCATACTCCTCTTGTTTTTCTGTTACTTTTCTATAATTTCAGGGGGCAAACACCAGCTCAGGCAGAAACAAATTATTTGAACAAAGCAAAATGGCTTGAAATGTATGGAGTAGACATGCATATAGTCAAGGTAAGCTTGCGATTACATGCTGTCCTTTTGGGAATAATATTTTTATTATTGGATAAGTATTCAAGGAACAATTACAGAATTCTTTATTAAATCTTCATTCTATGTATATGAAAAAAGGAAACTTTTCTCATATAGTGTTCCTTTATTTACTTGTAGCAATAATTATGTGCCACCAAGTCAGTTACCATATTTATTACTTATTTTTATTTGTTTATTTAATTTATATGCCGCCCACTCTACCCAGGGGTCTCTGGGTGGCTTACAGCACATGATGTAATATGTGTGATGGCCAAAAGGTGTTGAACCTTGCTGAAAATGGCTATGACCAAAGCTACTGCTTCTATGACCTGTTTTTGCACTGGACAGAAAGAATTTACACCAGTTGTATAGACAAATGAATTGTATTTAATTTATCTTAATATTTAGATTAATACAGTATTCAGATCAAAGGCCTGTTTTGAGAGGGAGTGCAGAATGTAAACTGAAATTTCATGTTATATAACTCCAAGAGAAAACTGGATAAAAACTGGATTTTCCTTTCAACCTGGGTAGGATCAGGTCAAAAACCTAACATTAAGTAACTCTGATGTATGTGGCAAAGCTGGAAGCGTGTATTCTTGAACAGAGAGTTGAAATATCCCAAAATATTATTTTAGGCAGGAGGGAGTTTAACACAACAGAATGAACAGTTCGTTGTACCTTTGTTCACTGAATACATGACTTTGCTTTAGATGCATTATCAATAAATGAAAACTTAGCTATATTAACATAACCTGTACTAGCATAAAGTCACAAATTTATGTATAATCTAACTTCATAATCTTTATCATGATTAGGCAAGAGATGGTAATGATTACAGCCTTGGACTAACACCGACAGGAGTTCTTGTGTTCGAAGGAGAGACCAAGATTGGATTGTTTTTCTGGTAAACTGCACAATTTATCATTGTCTTGGACGGTAGATACCCTGGGTTTAGGCAAAGAGCTCCAAGCCTAACAGAAGCAGAAAACTTTGTTCAGTATTGGCATAGATGTCATAGTCTGTTGTAGCAGCAGGGGATCCTATGTTCCCTAGCTAATTTGAACTCCAGCTTATTTGATTGCACTCCGAATTAGCTGCAGCCAACACATCCAGTGCTCAATGATGACAAGAACAGGAAGCTAACAATATATGAGGAATCCCCACTCCAGGCCTCTTGCAAATGCACAGAGTAATTAATAGAAATGCTGGTATGAACTTTAGTGTAGACCTTTGAGAAATTAATGGCAGTGTTGAGCAGTTTTGTAAATGAGTAATATTTGCCAGAGGTTATATGCATATGTATTGCATTGTAATATTGTTACACTTTATTGGAATGAACATGAAGTGTGAAGTGGTGATACTGGCCATATATTGATCAGATAGCATTTTGCACCCCAGAAGTATAAGATTTTGGCACTTCTCCTTCTCTATAATGAACTAAAAAACCAGAATCCAGTGTCAACAATGACAACCAACACATTCAGTTAACATTTATCTTTAGAAGAATTTAGTTGAACTTTTACAAGAATGTAAGAGCCCTGCTGGGTGAGACCAAAGTCTTCTGTAGTCCGGCATTGCATTAGAGGCCTGTGGCAATACTACAAGCTGGACATTATAGTAACTCTTTCCTGCTCAGATGCCCTTGCAACTACAGTTTATAAGCATAGTACCTCTGATACCGGAGGCAGCATATAATTGTCACTATTAGCCACTGATAACCTTATTTCCATAAATTTGCCTAATCCTTTTCTAAAGCCAGTCAAGTTTGTGATCATCACTTTAGCTAGTAGAAGTGAATTCCATAGTTTTGCTGTATGTTGTGAGAATAGTTATTCCATATTTCTGTCCTGAATTTCCCACCACTCAACTACAGTAAATGAAACGGTTTCTACTAATCAGAGAGGGGGAAAATCATCTAAGTTAAAGTTGTAATTGTTAAACATTACTTTAATTTCCAGCATAAGTTAATGTTCTTAGTTTCATATGGATTTTTCACACCTGTGTTTACTATCTGTTCTATGAAATGTGCAACTGCAATGAATTATAAATATAATAACTTTCCTCTCTTGCTGCCCCCACATTATAGGCCAAAGATCACAAGACTGGACTTCAAAAAGAATAAGCTAACACTAGTGGTGGTTGAAGATGATGAACAGGTAGAGGGAAAAATCATTTGCTCACTTTGCCTTATATTGAAAATAAATACTGGCTGCAAAACTTAACTTCATTCCATTGTAGTGAGCTAGCTTAAAAATGCTAAATTGTAGCCAAAACAAATTAAAGCTGGGTGGGACTGTATCTAGAAAGGCGTCTTGATTATATAAATTATTTTGACAGTCAATAAGTGAAGTGTCATGTTGCAATGTACATAGATATGTGACACGCATAGGCTTGAGCCAATATGGTAACTCCAAGTAGACCTGTTGAATCATTGGAGGTTACATAAGTGTTGACTCACTGTTCAGGAGCTGATGCAGTGAGCTTGTTCTAGTGGTGAATGAATTTAGACCCTACATAATTATTTACTCAGAAAAATGGTAGAAGCCTAATATAATCAAGGAAATAGCTAGCAAGATCTTTGTGTTTTATAAATTGTGTTTATATTATTGATGGGGAAATTTTGACTTCCGCCCTTAGTACAGTCAGGTAGGTCCCCTTGAACTCAAAAAGACTTTTTAGGTAGTGTGTTCAGGATTGCAAACAAGAAACAAAATGGAAATCCCCCCCTCCCATGGACCACTAAAAAAAGATGAGAGAAAAGGGAGAAAATATTTATTATAATCAAATATAATTGGGGCATATATCAAGGAAGTCTAGAATAAATAAATAAAATAATATAAATTTGTTTTAAAACATCACTTTGATTGAAAGTTCAATAATGTAGAAAAGCTAAAGATATTTGAAAAAAATATGCAGACATCTTTCCTAAAATGAAAGTGGTTAACCTGTCATTAAGATGTGTGGTTATTAAATGTGACATTTTGGACTACATTAATTTATTCTCTTGTTTACTCCATTGTTTTTCTATTCTTGGTGTCCAGGATTGCAGCTTTTTTCTCTTTGCCTCCCATGAATAGTTGTATTGTTTTGCCAAACAGAACAGTGTGTGTGTGTGTGTGTGAATGCTGTGGAAGCTAACAGTCTGGAGTCTAACACAAAATGAGAACATTTGGCACTTTTTAAATAAAAGCTGAAGTGCTAAACAGATTCTCTTTTTTAAAGAGTTCGACACCAAGTATCCGCAAAGAAACATTTGAAATATATTGCAATATGCTAGTCACACTCATGGGGGATTAAACAGAATCTCTGATGGTTGTTGTGGGTTTTTTCGGGCTCTTTGGCCGTGTTCTGAAGGTTGTTCTTCCTAACGTTTCGCCAGTCTCTGTGGCCGGGATCTTTGGAGGACAGCAACCTGTGCTCTGGAATCTCTATTCTTATTTCTTATATCCCATTTATAGCTGCTTCTTTCTCTCCATTACTCCTTCCTAGGCCCTATCCCTGCTATCTCCAATTGTCTGACCTCCCTTCCTGTAAAAATGCTTAAAAGCCCAACCAAGAGAGATCTTTAAAATATATGTACTTCACTCTTTTAACATAAATATTCTTCTTTAATATTATGCAGTCAGTACCCTTTATACAGTTAGTGCATACACTTTCAGTGGTTCTTGAAATACGAACAGTGTGTTATTACTAGCTATGCAAAATTAAGTATAAAAACAAGTGAGTTATTAAAAACCAAGCTGCTACTGCTTAGTATTTAACTGGACTTCAGTAGTGAATGGGGAGTCAAAGCTGCAAATTACCCAAGAGATTGGCTGGAATCTTGTTGACGTTTGCATAACTTGCTGTGGCTAATTGACGAAGTGCCTGGATCCATCCTAGTTACATGCTCGGTCACACACCCAAGTTATACAATTAAGACACACCCTGGCACCTCATCAGATGGCAGAAATTAGCCATGTCAGCTTGCAAATATCCTGCATGAGCAATAGTAGGACTGTATTATGTCTAAAAGTGTTTCCAGATATGATTTCTAGTTCATAGTTGCCACGGCTTATTTACAATATTTCATAGGCAGTCCAGATGTCATTTCTCTGTTCTTCAGCCTGCTGTGTTTTCTCATTGCTCCTTTCATTTTACCACATGAGGTCTCAATAGTGAGATACTGTGAGGAAGCACCTCACTTTTTTTTTGTAACATTGTTGGTTGAACTTGTCTTTTGAACTCCTCTTAGCTCGTAGTAAGAAAAGGTGAATCTTTTTTACCTTTTTAAGTGTCTGAAATTCTTCAGTTTGTGTTCCTTTTATTCCACTATTGTTCATCTTTCTTTAAGGGAAAGGAGCAGGAACACACTTTTGTCTTTAGGCTGGATCACCCGAAGGCCTGCAAACACTTGTGGAAATGTGCAGTCGAGCATCATGCCTTCTTCCGCCTTCGTGGACCCGTCCAGAAAGGTTCCAGTCGATCAAGCTTCATTCGGCTGGGGTCACGGTTCAGATACAGGTCAGCAGTCTCTTTGATTCAGTATCTCTTTTTTCTGCCTTTTTCTGAGATAATGCAGAGCAAAAAAAAAACAAAAAAAACACCCTGGCTTATAGTTTCCATGCCATGGCCCTTATTCCAGACTTACGGCAGCAGAAAGAAAAAGGACTAAAGTGGCTATAGGAAAGCAGAAAGGTTCTCGACCTTTTAGTTTTCATGTCTAGCAAAATACAAAAACTTTAAGATTCTTTCCTTCTCAAGCCTGACAAAATCAAAAAGGTTTGAAAGTCCTCATAGCAAAAACCTGTAACCATTTCTATATATGATTATTGCCTGAAAGTCGTACATCACTTTGTGTAGCGTGTATGTCTTCAACTAATCCCAGACTGCTTACATGTAAAGCTTTAAAGATGAAGACCACTGACCCCAAAGTGAGCCCCTGGAGTCAGCGCTGTAATGGTTGTTATATACCAGGTTCCCATCTAATTGCTGTACTTTGAACTGGTTAAGTTTCTGAATGCTTTTCAAAAGAAATTCTAGATGTGATATATATGTAAGATCAGCAGGGTAAGTCTTTCTCCTCAGTCACACCACCCTCAAATATGTGTTTGGTGGGGACACAAGAAAAGGGTCTTCTCTGCTTCTGCTCTCAATCTCTGGAACTCCCTCCCACAAAAGGCCAAGCTGGCCCCATCTTCGCTGTCCTTTAGACAAGCTGTTCCTTAGTGACTAGCTGTCTAAGAGAGGTTTTAAAATGGGATCATCTGTACTTTTGTTGCTTTTAAATTTCTTCTAGTAATGCTTTTACCTAGCATTTTAAATGCAGTGTTTATTCAAATCTTTTAAAATATTTGAATAATTTACTGTTTTTTGTTTTGTTTTGTTTGTTTGTTTGTTTTTGCTTTTAATATTGTGTTTTTAATTATGTAAGCCACCATGGATCCATTTTTAGGAGAAAGGCAGGGTAAAATATTTTAAATAAATAGATAAAAAAAATAACCCTGGCCATAACCTATCTTGTTCAAGAGAGGTTGTGGCCTTTGCACCAGGTAAAACTAAATTTCTAATCTCAAATATCACCTAATCTTCCAGATAAAATGCTGCATCAAACAGGACTTTTACTTGGAAATATGTAAACCGGCTTCTTAAGAGTGAAGTCCAATGCCAGCTAGAAGAGATTGATATCTCTTCATAGTTAGGTTCATCCTCCAGCAAAAACTGCTTCCACACCATCTGGTATAGCCTATGTTTCTGTCTGTTTCGGGTCTTTTTCTATTCTTTTCCTGACTCCTTTGAACCCTTTACTTTCTCTCTGCCCATTCCATCCTTGACACAGAAGTATATGTAGCATTGAAAATAACTGGATCATGGGGGTGGGGGCGCTGGGACATATAAGTTAATTAAATGTAAGTGTGTGCAAATCATCAGCATTGAAAAATGTATATTCATTCTGGGTTTAGAATATTTATAGAATGAATGTGTACACTTCTGAAAAAATGTCAGCTGTTCAGAGTGGTCTACTCACATTCATATTTCTTGTCATGCCTTCTTCTTTGACTGCAGCTTTGGTCTTGGGCTTTACCTTCTAAGTTCATCTGATGAGGATCCTTTTTGCATCATATTTTTGCAGAGTCTGACAGTAAGCACATGAGTGGCATTAAGGAGAGAAAGACCACATTAACACTACGTATTTCAAAGAGGAAATAGAGTTATGTTTTGTCAGTGCATATCATAAATGTTTGTTCTCATTCTTCCATGGTATGTCTCATTTCACTGTAGCGGGAAAACAGAGTACCAAACAACAAAGACCAACAAAGCCAGACGATCCGCATCTTTTGAAAGAAGACCTAGCAAAAGATACTCAAGGAGGACATTACAAATGAGAGGTAACGACTCATCTGTAGATAGTGCTACTGGAGTTCATCTAAAACTGTTTCTTTGGCTTGAGCTGTGTAGTAGACCTTCATACTTCTCCTTGCCTGCTTAGTGACCATGCTGTATCCTAAACTGGATTTGAAAGATAAACAAACAACACACACAGACACAGACACACACACACACACACACACACACACACACACTGAACTTGCGGGACTGTTGTCATAATTTTGGGGGTTCTTGTTAGTGTTACTGGCCATAGTACTGTTAAAATGGGAGTATTTTCTGGCTTGTCTTCCCAGAACGTATCCATTATATTCAGTGGCAATGCTTGTAACCTGTCAGCAGGTCATATTAGTTTTCCTCAACCTGGTGCTCTCCAGTTGTTGTTGTTGTTGTTGTTGTTGTTTTTGATTTTGATTTTGATTTTGATTTTGATGTTGGTGGTGGGTGTTGGTGTGTTTGGTCTACAGCTCCCAATGTCCCCTACTTTCTCCCCGAATTAGAACCAAATCAAAAGCTTCAGATCTTTTTAAAGCATATCTACATTTTACTGAAATGATCCCTAAAACTAAATGCAGGGTGTTTTTATGATATAAAATCCCTCCCCATCTTTTTTTGTTTTATTACAGCAAACATTGCCAAACCAGAGGAAACTAGGTAAGAAAACCATCTGTTCAGTACCTGGCTTCTTCTTAATCAAATATTGCCTTCATAAGTATGTCTTCTTGGATTCACTCATATGGAAACTTTCATCAGAGTGGAGTAAATATATATGAACCTGGTCATCCATATGGGTTTATCAGGAAAATATTGTATGGACTAGGATGTGAAATGTTTAATTCCTGATGCTTGCAGATCTTCTGTGACTGGGCCACCCATATGGATTTTTTATCTTGTTATTTCAGAGGGCCAGAAATCTACATGAGGATTTTGAAACGAAGTGTAAACAGGCAGAATTCTTAGCTTTTTAGACTCCTGAATTCTTAAGTTTTCATCTAATAAACATTAGCATGCCATGATTTACAGATGTTAGTTTAAACCAGTGGTGTCCAACCTTGGCCCTCCAGATGTTATTGGACTTCAACTCAAAAACTTCAACTCAACTTCAACAAGAGCCTCGTGGCACAGTGGTTAAAACGCTGTACTGCAGCTAAAACTGTGCTCACGACCTGGGGTTCAAATCCCAGGTACACATCTGGAGGGCCAAGGTTGGACACCATTGGTTTAAACCATATGGGAAATACTTCTAAAACGCTAGCTGTAAGGTCTGGGTGAATGAACAGGGACACAGGATATTATGTTGCTTGGGCAGCTTCCTGTTTCCAGCTCTATAGTGTTTGTCTCAAAGACATGTTCCTTTCATTGCTTTTCTCCTTGACCTCTACAACTGGACTGTCACAGATTACATGCCCGTTAATGCTGTTGCTTGCTTGTGTGGAAAAGTATGTTGTCATCAAAGACATACTTTTATTGACTAAATACTGTGTTTTAACTGACCTTATTTAGACCACTCTGCAGTGAATGCTGCTAGATGCATCTTCATAAACACAGATCTTTATTCTGCAATAATAAACTTACTGTTATCTTTAATTAAAACTAATTTTGAAGAAACATTCAGAGTGTATCTGCAGTGATTTGTGAGCCAAAAGCATGGTTAAGAATTTGTTGGTGGTGGTTGGTCACCCAACTCCTCATGATCAGTAAAGAGACTGATCAACATGATTGGGGACAGGAGTCTGTCCTGCTTTCATCGATTGTTTAGGGTATTGTGGCATGTTTATGCTAGGATGAATCAATTCTGTATTTAACTTCATGCTAATTAAAATTGATTGTGAAAGAGCCATGCTGCTTAAGTGCAAAGCATTAGATAGAAACAGAGCAGCACTGAATAATGTGGTGCTGCTGAAAGAAATTCTCTTCAGTACTTGTTTTTTTACAATGCGGTCTTTGATTCCCAAAGTTTAAAAGGAGCATAGACCAATATGAGAAAGAAAAAAGCTGTGTGGTGGTCCTTGTACACACACCCTTCTGAAGAAAAGGGTTTGTGACCCCTTTATTAGACTACTAAAATTTCCAACCATATGTAAAAAAAAAAAAGCTACTTTAGTGGTCTAATAAAGATATTGCCGACTTTTTGCTTCAGATTCTAGACCAATATGGGTTACTTTTAGATGGCGGTGAAAGGATGCACACATAATTAAAAAAGATTTGTGTGTTGTATGTCAAGAATCGGCGGGGCTCAGAAGAGAGGCAAAAGATTGTAACATTTTATATAATTAAAATTCTGCCATTTTGATTGCAATTTTGGCTTCGCTTTATAAGTGCAGGGCATTTCTCCTCTGTGTCTGCTATTTTGTACTGAGTTACTTCATAACGTTTGCTTTGTAGCACTTGTAAAATTATACTCACGTTATCTCTGTTACTTCTTGCAAATGGCCACTGTGTTTGTATGCTAAGTGGTTAATTGAAAGCTGGTTTAAACTCTTCTATGTGCTGGTCTCCTTGAAGTTATAATAGCATGTCTTAAAACTTAGCACTTCAGTCTTAGGGAAATTTAACTGTTGGGTTTGTTTCTTTCAGCCTTCCAAATAATGTTTTCAGCCAAAATAATGGATCACAGCAAGTAAGTCTGTCTAATCTACTTACTTCACGGTATTCAAAACACAGTAGCCTTGGCCTCACAGCTTAAATTACACTTTCTGTATATTTCCAAGACAAAGTAGCAAATGGAGCTATTTGATTATTTTGGCTTTAAGTATTTAAATCAAAACAGAAACTTGCAAACCAAAGTAGACTTCTTGTCTTCAGTTTCCTTGAATGCGGAGCTTTTTTGCTTGAATAGTAAAAGCAAAACTATGGCTGATGTCTTTCCATGCTCCCTGATTACATACTGTTGCAATTGAAACCTGAGAATTTCAGGGCATATAAAGTATAGTTTGATCTGAGAGACCTTGTTCACTGCTGGAAGCCAGCCATGTGAGAGAAGCAAATAGCTTTGATTCCTTTTACTTGCCTTACCATTCTGTAGTGTGCATTACCCAAGTGAAATTTACCTTTGTGCTTTGTTTTTGAAGAACTGGAGTACGATGACAGCCCTGCCCTCTGGAACTGCACTTTCTTCTGGTCCAGTATTAGTTGAAATAGAAAAGCTCCCAAGGAGTCCTGGAACCAGCCAACAAGACAAGAAATGGTGTGTGGCTCAAATCTTGATGAATTTTAGAAAAGAGAAGTTAGAGGTTTTTCACAATTGGTCTTAGACACTGTGTTCATGACTAGTTCACTGAACTTAATCTAGATGCTTCCGTCAGTTCATCATTTGCAATGCTGGTGTCAGTATGTAGTGCCCCCCAGTATTGTAGATGTTAATTGTGTGCTCTTGCTGTGAAGATGGTTGAAGAATTTCTCCATTCACATGTATCAACCTGGATTGTGCTCACAGCATAGTACTAATCACTGAGGGTCAAATGAGAAAAGCTATGTTTCTCAATATTTTTGGCTTTTCTTACATCTTAATTGTCTAGTTTTTCCCAGCTGCATGGAGTTTTGCAGAAAACAGGAGTTTAGTTGGGGAAATAGAAGCTTCTAGAGCTCCATTCTGTCCCAAAAGCACTGTTTTTTTTAAATCAAAGTGGATTTAATTATCTTGGAAAAACTCTTAACTCTGTGAGACATTTTGAAGAACTGCAGCAGTAGGATGCAATAGACTTTAAAGCTCTTAACTAAACTGTTTTGCTTTTTATACTGTTTGCCAATATAGATGTGACCATAATTGTTAATTCTTCTACATTTATCTTATGTAAATCTAGCTAATTATATCTGTTGACTTCAAAATACTCTGGACTTTGGCTTTATCCTGAAGCTTTTCTTTAGCTACAATCAAGAAGGCACTTTCTCATTTCCTTTTTGCCCTTGATTTTATCTAGTATCTGAAATTGGCGGTTTTTCTGTCAGCTCTTGATTGGTCAGTTTCTTCCTCCCCCATTGGTGTTGGTTGTAAGGTGGTGGTATTTATTGATTTTTATTATCTTTTTTTCTCCACATTGGCATGATGGCTTGTTTTGTGTAAGCTGAGTATAACTGCTGCATATATGCTTGTTGATAACATCCTCATATATATTCTTCAGATTTCAGCTCCAAACAACTCTGACTGTGCTTTTATTGTCTCATTTCTTAGATACTCCTTCCGATAAAATAGTCTTATTACAAGCTGATAGTCATAACTGTGCTGTCAAATACATAATCTTCCTAAAAGAATAATTCTATCCACTGTAATTGCGAAGAGTGTATGATGGTATCTTTTGTAAAGGCATTTTCTACATGACACTTCTCTGCATGAATATATGTGACATTTTAAAGTATATACCATCACATGTGGCAAGTACAATTGTTTCTTTCATTGAAACTACAGGGAGAGGCCTTTGCTGGCTCTGGCTCCCTCCACATTAATGTGCTAAAAAATAGACACGTGTGGTGAACACATGGTCAGCACATTTCTGCCTTGCATCTCTATAGAAAGGGCTTGTTTGAGGAGCAGTTTTTACAAGCTCTGTAGGGTGTGTCAGATAATACAGAGTGCCTCCTCCCCGTGTCTTTTTTTTCCAGCCGTGAAAAAACTGTGAGCTACAGTAGTCTGTTCCAAACCTGAACAACAGAAGGAGCAGTTGCAAAAAATCTGTACATGTTAAACAGAAATGTGCATGTAACATCAGTTTTTTTCTATCTCCTCCTCCTTTCCCTGCCTGCCTTCCTATTAGCTTCTTGAGTCTTTTTAAGACGAAAATGGATCATATGTCCAGACATTGGGTTTAATTGCAGGAGATTTTTATTTTCTGCACTATGTGTGTGTGTTTGAGTTTTAAATGGCTCTGTTGCCATTCTCAAGAGGTAGGGAAAGCCATAAAGAATTGTTTGGAGCTGCACAGTCAATCAAGTGTGTTGTGTTCAGTGTGAAGTTTGGAATGAGATTAAGCTGGATGCCTTGATGGAATGTATGTCTGCCTGCAGGAGAGCGCAGTGAATGTCTTGGTGCTGCCTGTGGGGCTTTCCCTAATCTTGGTCAATCAGCCTTTTATCCCTTCTGGTCTTTTCCCATGGCTTGGTCTGAGTTTTGCTCCTATCGCACTTTGCATCAGCCTTCTTTAGAGAACCGATATATTTGCAAACAAAGTGACTAGAACTACAATGCTTCACAGTTTTTAATTGTGTAACAAGGGTCTCTATATTTTTGGAATTGGTTCTTTGCATGTATGGAAAGGTGATGTCATTTCCTTGTGTCATTCTACACCAGTGGTACAGAAATGTGGTCCATAGACCACATTTCTGTACTTTTGCACTATGGTGCTGTCAGTGCTACTGTAAACAATGCAGTGCCGTGCCATTCAAAGAGTTCCCTGTGAGCTTTCATTTTTTTATGTTTGTTACAAAGCATCAGTAACCTGTTGACTGCAGAAGAAAGGATATTTATGTGGAACCACATTTTCTGGGTTACATTTTGTCCAGACAATGCTGCTGAGGGCTGAAATTTGGGATCAAAACCTAAACATACCAGTTTTGTCCTGTAGAATCAATCCATGTCTAAATATAAGCGTGTTTGACTGCTGTCTTAATGAGATAGCAAGCTAGATGTGAGCCAGGTGAAGAGGAATGTATCAGCTACATATATCAAGCAGGTTGCAGAGCAGAAAGCAAAGAGGCTGCTTTCTGCAGATGAAAAAGAACCACATAACAATAGGAAAGCCTTGCTGCTAGTTACTTTATTGCTATCCTCTAGAATTACTACATTTTATAATTTGCACAAGAGTAGCTGTGTTAAAAGTCTGTCAAGACTGAAGCAGCAAGGAATCTTGTGTTGTCTTAAAGATGAAACAAATTCGATTTGACATGAGTTTCAGTGGACTGCAACCCACTTCACTGGGTGCTTGTAGTCTTTGCTTAGTGAACAGATGATTGTACACAAGCTTTTGGGTGCGGGCAGGAATTGTAATTAGTAGAGAAGTGAAATTTGAAACGTTACCAAGAGGAACTTTCTTACATTGATCTTAGTGGTCCTGTTCAATAAACATTAGTTGAATGGATAATACGAATAGCCCTGCACTTATAAACTCTTCATCCTATGAAGTGTGATTAAAAAAGCTTTGCCCTTATTCAAGCCACAGGAGATAAAATTGAGCTTCCTGAGCAATTCTTGTTCAGCTCTTTTGCTTTAGAATCTGTTTCAAGAAAAGCCATTTTAGGGTGAGAAAAACAGCTGTTAGAGACTGAAGTGGTCCCCCATTCATTTTTTAAATATTGCTGTTTCTGGTGTCAGATTTGTGACCATTTATTCTTTGGTGTAATCTGACCTGTTCACTTCTGTAGAATGCAATGTGGCATTGCTGGTAAATGATAGCATAGGTTGCATTGAAAGGTGAGCAGGGAAATGAACCATCATGTTGCCTGAAGCCTGCAGTTCTGTTGTTAGATGAGATATGGGGGGCAAAACGTGGTGTCTGGGTCTGCCACAGAATCTGGTTCCTATGTCCATATCCTCTAGGCATCTGACAATTCAGGCAACTTATCATTCTTCTGATGAAATGGGCTGCAGTCCAACATGCCACAAGTTTCCCTGCTGTAAATATGATAAATCTAGGATTATGATTGTCCTGGACCCAAGGCAAGATCTGTGTGCAGACAACTCCAGATACCTGACAGCCCTTTTTATTTTGCATCTCATTGAGATGGGAAATGCTAAAAGATTTCAATTGAATGTTGTCACCTATTTTTCCACAGAACAATTTACTATCAGATGTGATGAACAATTTTTTGAATACATTGTCTGGTTGTGATGTTCATACTGCAAAGAACTAACTTTTAAATCTGAGCGTTACACAATTGTGAACTTGGTTAAAATTGTTTCTAAAGAAGGCTATATCTAAGCTATGGCATATTTCTTTGGCCTTTCCACATGCTTTTGGGATCTCTAATTTTAATGTGCGTATTCTAGTTAAGATGCTGCCTGCTTGTTTGTGTCCCCTAATGTGATTTTTATGTCTTCTGAGTTTAACTAAGCACGAGAAGACAACTTTCAATATTTTGGAACAACAACAATATTGAATTAATTGATGTGATGGAACAGTAACTGACATGGACGGGAACGCAAGACCTATCCAGATTTTTCATAATCTGTGCCTACCATCAGTTCCGTGGGCAAAGTGCAGGCATGATTGTTGAGTTACTTACTCTTTTATTAATGTTACTCACATGCTGCCTTTCTCCTCAAAGGGGATTTACTATTAAAAATGCCCTAAGGAAATATACAAAAAAAAGAACAATAGAGGATATATCAATATTAAAACCGCCATTAAAAACATTTTTAAAACATCTCCTCAAAGTTACTATTACAAATGCCCTAAGGAAATACAAAAAAACACAACAATTAAGGATCTATCAATATTAAAACCACCATTAAAAACATGTTTAAAACATTTAAAAATCCCTAAATTCGATAAATACAGCATTTTTAAAATCCCTTTTTATTGCTTGAAAACCGACCTGAAAAGACCTAAATTCGGTAAATACAGCATTTTTAAAATCCCCTTTTATTGCTTGAAAACCGACCTGAAAAGAAAGGCTTTTACCAGATGACAAAAGGGAAGGAGCCAACCTGGCTTCATGGGGTAGCGCATTGCAAATCCTAGGAGCAGATATTGAGAAGGGCAAGCGATCCTGGAAGGGTGGTTGAATTGAGAGAAGGGCCTCCTAAGAACATATTAAAAGCTGAGAAGGGCCAAAGGAGTGATATGGTTGAATTGAGAGAAGGGCCTCCTCAGAAGATCTTAAAAGCTGAGAAGGGCCAAAGGAGTGATATGGTCCTTCAGTTAGCTTAGACTCAACCCACTTTGAATTGAGCCCAGAAATAGACTGGCAATCAGTGAAGCTGTTGTAGTAAAGGAGTTGTATGCTTCTTATATCCAGTGCCAATCATAGGGTGGATTTGATTTAAATCACTAGTCAATAAGACTTGATTTAAATCATGATTTTTAAATGTAAAGACTCATTCTTGCGGGTAGTTATAATCTTTAATATTTGCAACCAGATGAAGATTTCACTCCCATGTATTTCACTCCAAACAATCTTCAAACCGCTCCCATGTATTTCACTCCAAACAGTTTTCAAACCTGGCATTTAAGATAATGTATTTACTGTTTGTAC